CCCCAAGCGGGAGAGCCAAAGAAATAAATATCTTAGTACGTGAGAGAAGACGCGAGAGAGGGGCTGAGACACCGGGGCTGGTCGAGAAGGCAGGCGAGGGAGGAGAAAGGGTTGAAATAAACCACATTTTCCGAGGGTTTTGGATTTACAGAAAAATTGCAAGCAGAATAGAGCGAGTTCCTGTACACGCCCGTGTCCTTTTCCATCAATACGGTTAGGACGGCCTCCCACCAGTCCCGTGCAGCAGTGCTACGGTCTGTGCACAGACACGGGTTCAGAGAGCCGCAGTGCTCACGTGACGGCCCCGTTCTGTCCCGGGGGGTCCCCCTGGGGGGGGCCTGCGTGTCTCGTAGGCTGCCCGTGGCTCTGACAGCTTCTCGGACGTTCCCTGTCTTTGCTGACCTTGACCATGTGAGCAGCCCTGGTCGGCCGTTCTGCAGAACGTCCCTCAGCTGGGCCTTGTCTGCTCTTTCTCTCTCGATTAGACGGAGGTTATAGGTTTGGGGGAGGAACATACCATCAAATGACTTATCGCGCTGATGCTGCTGACCTTGCCCCTGACCTTGAGGGGGTGTTGGTTAGCCTTTCCGCCTGGTTCCACTCTGCTGACTCTGGAGGCGTTCCTGAGTACAGGCCACACTCACAGAGGGCCTCTGCCCCCTTCTGCGGGAGGCGCTGGAGGAGTGCTCTGCTTGCACAACAGGGATGTGGGAGCCGTTCACGGAGAATCTGTTCCCAGCCAAAGGGGGAGGGGAGGGGCCTGGGGCCCGAGGGGGTCCAGAGGGGGTCCAGGCCTGAGATAGCTCTTCTAACCTGAGGCGGGGGGAGGAGGGCGCCAGGCCAGGGGGAGGAGGGGAGGAGCTGTGCTCCATGAAAGGGAAGACTCTTGTTCTAGCTGGTGTGGTTCAGTGGATAGAGCGCCGGCCTGCAGACTGAAGGGTCCTGGTTTCGATTCCGGTCAAGGGCACATGCGCGGGTTGCAGACTCAATCCCAAGAGCTGGTTGTGCAGGAGGCAACCGATCAATGATTCTCTCTCATAACGCTGATGGTCGATTCCCAGAAACTTGACAAAATGTACTTCTGAGTTTCCCAAATGATAGTGGGAAAGTTTTCTCTTTTGCTCCAAGGAGAGTGTTAAAGAGAAAATAATAAGGTCAAACATTTACAAACACACAGCAACATAGCCTGGCCCAAGCGTGTCTCCCCACCTCGCTGAGGATGCGGGGCCAGCGCTGAGCTGAGCGCCGGGGCCTCCGGGACCCCGTGTCCTCTCTCCGTGAGGGGCCCAGTCACCTGGGCAGGGACATGGGCCTGGGGCTGTGAGCAGGTCCCAGTTCTGGGGGAGCCACCAGGAATCTTCTGCTCGATTGAAGGGGAGACTCTTGCTCCAGCTGGTTTGGCTCAGTGGATAGAGCGCTGGCCTGCAAACTGAAGGATCCTGGGTTCGATTCCGGTCAAGGGCGTATGCTCGGGTTGCAGGCTCAATCCCCCAGTGGGGGTTGTGTAGGAGGCAACCGATCAATGATTCTCTCTCATCATTGATGTTTCTCTCTCTCTCTCCCTCCCTCTCTGAAATCAATAAAAATATATATTAAAAAGAAAAAGAAAGGGAAGACTCTTGTAGACGGGACTGTTTCATGGACAGCAAATGTGATTTGGAGAAAACAAGATCTGGCCGTTACATGCAAAGGCTATTTCCCTGCAGAGGGAGGGACAGCATCTAACAAAACGCTCCACCTGCCAGCGTTTGCCGGCCCCTGGGGAGCTCTGTGGGCACTGTTGGCCTGTCCTGTTGATTATGGAGGTCTCAAGGTCAGTGAGAGCCTGCCAAGGTCACGCAGTGACCTTAAGGAGGCCATGCTCAGGCAGACACAGGGAAAACAAAGAACATGGAACACCTCATTTCTCACAGAAGCTCCACAGACTCAAGATTTTACCCAGTGGCTGTTCCACGCAGTGTGCTGGATAAACTTGACCACATGTAGCCTCTCTGATCCTTGGTTTAGCTTCTGCTTCATCCAATCTCTTGCTGTTATAGAACAAAAATTATTCTACCTTCAGAGTTCTTGAGACTCTTGTAATAAAACACAAATTAATAAGAGGAAAACATGAACAACAGAATAACAGTTTATTAAACATGTATCCCTCATGTGTAAGCGGGAGAAACCCAGGGGAAAATGAGTAACTCTCTGAGGTGGCTTAGAACTCTGGCTTAACTACCATCTGAACTGGGAAGCAGGAAGGTGGATGTGTAGGCATCACTGGGGAAGAGTGAATGACTTTTAGGAAAGACAAATGGGCCCTTGAGTAGATGGGGGTGTGATAGTATGGGACAGTTTGTCTGGGTGTGGTGTGGACTTCTGGTCTCCTCTCCGGGGATAAGTCCATCTTCTCTGGTTGATGAAACTCCCAGAGGGAGGATTACTGACCATTCAGTTCCTTTGGGAGGATCTGTCCCCTGGCAGGTCAGGGGAATCCAGAGAAAGCCTCTGCAGCCCCTCGTGCTGTTGGCCATGACTCCCCTCCCAGCCCGACAGAGCAATTGCTTCTGCCTGAGGTGTTGCAGGCACTACTTCCTTTCAGCCAGGCCCACATGAGCCAGTCAGCCCTCTGTGCCAGCCGCAGAGTCCGCAGGGACTTCTGGATCTGATAAGCGCTTCAGATGGAGTCATCCTGTCTATGTGACTCCTAACATAGGAACAGTGTCCTGTGCAGGGCAGGCCTTCCACCCAGTGGCCAGGACACTGACCAATGACCGACCCTGAACTAGAATAAGCAGGTTGGAAAATAACTGTCTTGCTTTTCATCGCTTTTAAAGGTATGGATAGCTCGCATTTGTTTCGTTAGTATTAGAAGTGCTTTGGGTCTTTATGTACAAGTTTGGTGATGTTTCTGTGACCCGGATGCCGTGGGAACTTAGCTCCTGTGCAGAGCACTTAGCCGGTGGTAGGATGGATTTTGCTGCATTTCGTTTAGCTTATTACTGTTTCTGAGAGCCTGTCGGTGACGTTAAGTGAGGACTTCTGCAGGTGACTGTTTATTAGGTCAGCACAAACTCAACAAGAACCAAGGCCGAGTGCGGGGCACCAGGCCTGCAGAGCACCAGCAGCCTCAGCACCACCAGCTGTTAGACACACGCTCAGATCCCTCCCGAAAACCTTCCCCTAGAATTTCCCCAAGCCCCTGGGCGATCCTCCTGCACATTCAAGTCTGAGGAACATGAACAGAACGCACTGCCCTCAGCTGTGGACCAGCACGAGCTGGTCCGGGGAGGAGAGGATCGGCCCGCCAGGTCCACCTGCGCCTGTGACTTCGGGGTGATGGCAGTTATGTCTTCCGGCCCTTCCCCGCCAGAAGCCGCCACGTGCTGTGCACAGGAGGGACATGGAGGCGGGGGGGGGGGGGGGGGGGGGGAAGGTTTACCCTTCAGACCCCAGGTCTAAGATTCAGTGGAAGCCTCAGAGTAAGAGTATGAAATGATTTTATTATAAAACTTAGGCAATTTATTAACCATTCACCTTCTAAAAAACACAAACACGAGAATACAGTAAACACACCCGGGACTTGCCCTCCTCGCGGGCCGGAAGCAGCCCTGGACAGAGCCTGCGGACGGTCCCTTTGCTAGTGTCTGGGCGCCCTGCGCTGTGGGGCCCGTGCTGGCCGCCTCTTCGGGGAAAGGACAGTAAAGCTACAAGGTTCACGCACAAAAGGGTCACAACTACAGCCATGTGATGCTCACGGCTTGCGCATCTAGTCTGCAGCTCTGAGAGGCAATGCCAACCGGCCAGCCACAGACCCTCCCGGCTCGGCGCTGCCCTGCCGAGGAGCTGCCCGTGGGACCACTCGCCTCCCTCATGGCCGCTGTTGTTTCTCCCGAAGCACAAACTCCAAAACCCACACGCAGGCTCCAAGTTCAAGTATGAAGGTCTGTTTGAGGACAGCCCGGTGGATATAGTGTTTCCTCGTTCTCTGTAGTGTCTGCTGGTGTGGTCCCTGGGACGGGCTGGCCATGCGGCAGGGGCACAGGGGCCGGCATTCCTGCCACCAACCTCGCTCCCCGGTCAGCGTGGACCACGCTCCAAAGTCAAAGGTGAAATCAGCGACGACCGTGGCCTGCCTTCATTCTGAAGCCGTACGGTTACGAACGGAATCCACTTCACCACTCTGCAATGGAGCTTCCAAAAACACCAGGCACCGCCTAAACAGGAGAGAACCTATCAAAACGAGACCACTCTCACCGGGTTCTCTGTTCCGAAGGAATGGACAGCTGGACTAGGAGGGCGGTGTGTGTGTGTGTGTGTGTGTGTGACTGTTCTACAACCCATGGCATTGGGCTCCCACGTGGGCACCAGAGGCAGCTCTGCTCTGAACAAGTGCTCGTGTAAGCCCGGTGCCCGTTCTGTTCGCTCGCTGATGCTTCTCAGAAAGAACAGACACCCCGGGGGGCCTTACAAACAGGACCCGGAGCAGAAGGAGGGCAAGGCAGCCCAGTGGTTACTAACAGAGCCAATGCCGGCCACCGCTGCCATGGTTCAGGCTGACCGTCTCCCAGACCCTGCAAGGAGCCGGCTTTAAACATTACATCCCAAAGGTAACAAAGAGGGGGCCGTCCAGAAGGCCTGGTCACCGACAGTGGCGCTCAGCTCCTTCAGCCACAGGACGGCCAGCAGAGTTTCAAGCAGACTCAGTCCTGTATAGGGTGAGGCCGCTTTTGAATACATTGATTTTATGTCCAAATTGCAAACCCAAACTTAAGCAATTTCAGGAAAACAAGGATTCTCATTTGAATGTCCCTGGGGCACCCCAGCCACCCCAACGGGGGCCTAAAGCAGTGACTCCTCACAGTGGGGACACTGGGCTCCAGGCACGGACTCCTCACGATGGGCTGTGAGCTGACTACGTGGTCAGAGAGGTCCGACTGCACATACTTTCCTGCTGCCCCTCTGCCACCAGCTCCCTGGGAGCCAGAGGAACGTGCGCTCTCTCTGGGGGACAGACCTCAGGAGGCGTCCTGGGCGGGGCCCGGGCCGTCCTGGCCCTCCGGCTCCGGAGGGGGCGCTGGTGCGGCTTCCCGCTTCTTGGCTGCCAGGAACTCGTGGATGGCTCGCTCGATCTGTGGCCTGAAGATGTGGTTCAGCTTGGGGTCCACCACCTGAGAGATGATCCTGTCCACTCCGGCTTCCAACATCCCCGACCTGTGGGGGCAGAGACCATCCCGCTACTCAGCTGCTCTGAGTCCTCCCGTCCCAGCAGGTGTCCTGTGAGGGCCCAGCCAGCGCCCCTGCCACTGTGGCTGCTCCAGGGAGTGCTTCCCAAGAGGGCCCGTTGGCAGAGTTCAAGTTGCCATCTTTCCACTTAGAGCAGCTCCCAACCAGAAGCTCCCATCCCGCCTCAGTCCCCTCCACGGCCCCCTCCGCCCGTGCAGGGACCACGGAGAGCGACAGTGACTTATGAGCTGAACCCGCCAGCGAGCTGCCGGCCAGCGAGCCTCCACAGCCACCGGGCTCTGCCCACCAAAGGCACGGTCACCCCGTTCCCGGGCCCCCTGCGGCTGGGACCGAGAGCACACACCAGGGACTTGTAAACAGACAGGAAACAAACTGGTTCTAAGCACCTAAGGGGCCAAGATCCACCCCAACCCCTTTTCAAAGCAGAGCCAAAAATGGCCAAAATGTGTGTTCAAACATTTGGGGCAGGTGGTGAGGAAGACGTGGTGACAGGAAGCACGTCGCATTTGGAAAGTCTGGAAGACTCCATGGAGGTTCAGACCAAAGTGTCCGAGGACGGACACGTGTGAGCACCACCACAGCCCGTGGGCGGCTCTCCTTCTTCTCCTTCAGCCCGGAGCGCCCGGGCCAGGCATGTGACAGGAGGCTGCACAGGCTGGAGAAACCGGCCAGGACTTCAGCCGAGTCCTGTGCGTCCCTGAGCGTGGGTTGTAGTGAAGGACGGTCTGCTGCAGCTCCTAGGACCCGGACCCGGCAGCGCCCGCACCGGCCTGTGCCTGGACCGCGTTCTGCCCTGAGGCCCGCGTCCCGCCCTCAGGCCCGCGTACTCACTGAACCACGCTCTGCCGCAGGCCGTTCCGCAGCTGGTTCTTGTTCATCGTCGGGTTCCACTCCTGCTTGTCCAGATGTGTGGAGACAAAGTTATCCACTTTCTGCCTCAGGTTCTGGTAGGCCGGCTGAGAGATGAGAAAGGGGCAAGGTCAGCAGTTACCCGCACTGACGTGGCCATGTCGTTCAGAACGCTGCTTTCACAGGCACCGACTCTCGGGTCCTGGCTAACTTCACGGCCACGCGGCAGGCAGAGCGTGGATTACGCCAGGAGCGCCAGATGCTTTATGTTGTGATTACACTCACTTTCCCAGTAGCCCTCCGAGGGAGGTCCTATGAGGTCCCACCCCCCAGAGGTGGAAATGTAGGCTTCCACACAGCACACAGCTTGCCCTCAGGCCAGACCCAGGCTCTTTCCGAACCACAGGGGCTGGTTCTAGGCCGCTCCGTCGCTTACCAGCTCTCCCACTTCACCGCGGCCACAGCCGGAGTCTGTCACTGCCACCGGAAGGCGGTGCCGTTTCCGCCCCCCTCCCTCTCAGCAACAGGCCCGGGAACGCCTCTGCACCCGGCCAAGGGCCACCCCGCAGCTGGACACAGGAACGCGGACTGAAGTCTAAGCCCACGGAACACGGGGAAGGCAGGAACATCCAAAGAGGAGCGGAGAGGCACTCGCTGATCCCAGACCAGCTGCATCAGGGCAAACTGAGGGAGGTGGTGAACACAAGGAACGCAGGCTGAGCCTCCAGATCTGTCTGGCCTTGCCAGCTGCTCTTCTCCAAAACCAGGTGTAAACGTGCCCTGCTCCCCCTCCCACGCGGGCGGAGGGCACCCCCACCCCAGCAATGCCCAGTTTGGTGCTGTGATCTGCGCTGGCAATGGATTGCCAGTGGCTCCGTGCCCCGAAGACCCTCCCTCCATAGCACCCACGTCCCGGGCAGCCCCCGCTCCTGTAGTCTGGGATTCAGGGTGAGCAAACGTGCTGCAGACCTAACCCCAGCCCATAGCCAGATCCCAGCCCAGGCAGCCTGCGGCCCACAGCAGGGCCACCCAGCTGGCGCCTACCAAGACCAGCTGAACCCCGGGACATGCAGCCCTGTGGCCGGAGAACAGCGCCTGTCATGAGCCACACAGATTTGGCTGAAGATGTAGTGTCATTGTGGCCAAGTCTGCTCACAGCCAGATACATGAAATCGCCCAAAGCATCAGCAGGCCTTCGGGCCATGAGCGGACTCCCCCACAGGCCAAGAACACGGACTCACACTCTCCACTCACCCCAGGAGGAGGAGGCAGGGAGACGAGTGAGTTAAAATTCTCATGTACTACCTGCCGAGCAGCTCCTTTTCCGGGTCCCCACCTTCCCATCGAGACCAGACCCCGGCCACAGCACCTGACTCCCACTAAGGCAACGCTAACGCTCCCTGGGATTTCCTTTCTTTTCTTTTTTTCTTTATTTCTTTCTATCAATTTTTATTGTTCATATTATTACAAAAGTTCCTCATTTTTCCCCCCCCTCCACCAGGTTCCCACCCCACCCTCTGCCCTTTCCCCAGCCCCCATTGTCCTCATCCATATGGGATTTTCTTTTCTGAGCGTCAGCTGAGCGTCCTTCCGGAGGAGGAAGGTACGAGGGAGGAAGCCAGAGTAAGACAGCATCAAGAGATGCTAGTCTGCAAAGGGAGGTCCTTGGCAGCGGGGTAAAGTGAAGGAGCATTTTATTGGGGGGCTGACCCACAGCAGGAGGATGGAAAACAGGCCCCCAATGCCCTTTGGTCGGCGACGGAGTACAAAGCAGGGTGCGGGCTCTCAGCTGCGCGCGGGTCCGCGTCGCGGGGCTGGAGACAGGGAGCGGAGGCCCCAGAGGACGGCTGCACCCGCCCTGCTCCCTCCCCGCCCGCTCTCCTCCGTCCAGCGGAGGTCTGTGCGGGGCTTGGGGGCCCCATTCTCGGCGAGGCCAGGGGGCGGGCTCCCGCACCGGCACCGCAACCCCAAGTTCGGAGAAGCCGCAGGCGGAGCTCAAAGGGGCCGCTCCCCGGGGCGCCGGGAGCCGGACCCACGTGCGCATCCCCCGCCCCCCGCACGCGCCCGGTGCTGCCCCCCAGCGGCCTGCCCTCCCCGCCGCCCAGAGTTCCAGCCGCAGCTTTTGTTTTCCTCTCGGCTCTGCCCATCAAGCTGCTCCCGGGGCGGCCTCCGCCGGACCCGGTCTGATCCGGCCCGGCCCCCGCGGCCTCGGTACCTTGGTGTCCACGTCGGCCAGGCAGTCCCGGCGGAAGCTGTCAAACAGGCCGCGGCTCTTGAGCTGCTCCACGATGAGCGCGATGAGCTGCGGGTCCCCGGGAGGCAGCGAGGCCGGGTTGATGGGGCCGCCGCCGCCGCCGCCGCCCGCCGCGGCCGCCCCCGGCCCCGCCGCCGCCGGGCCCGCGCCCCCGCCGCCCGCGCCGCCGCCGCCGCCGTCCGCCATGCCTGCGCCCCGGGCCCGCGAGGGAGACCCAAGGTGGCCGCCTCTCAGGGCCCCGGGCCGAGCAGAGGCGGCGGCGAAGCGGGAGCCGGAGGCGGCGGCGGCGGCGGGGGAGAGGGCGGAGGGGGCGGGGAAGGCGCGGGCGCGGGCGGAGGAGGGGAGGGCGGCGGCGGCGGCGAAGCGGGGGGCGGAGGCGGGGAAGGAGGCGGCGGAGGCAGGTTCTGGGGCAGGAGAGGTGGCGGAGTAAGCGGCCGCCAAGGCCCGCTCCATCCCGGGCGCTCCTCGGATGACGTCACCTCTGGCATTGGCCTTGTGGGGCGGGAGGTTTTCGGCACTCCTCGCCGGCGCTCTTATAAGAGGAAGGCGGGCGGGCCGGAACTACAACTCCCGGCAGGCTGAGCGGCCGCTCGCGGGCGGTGTGCGGGGCAGTATGGGACTTGTAGGCGTGGGCCGTCGTGATTTCCGCGACGTGCAGGTGGGAGGCTTTCTGGTCCATCACTGCAGCCCTTGTTGTAAATCAGTGTTTCCCAAACTTCTCTCATGAGTTGGGAAACACTGACTGTAATTGAGCATCTCCCAAGGGTGCCTGATTATAAGGACCACCCGCGGGGCTGGTTAAAAGTGTAGATGAACAGGTTCATCCCTCAGAGATACTCATCCACGTTTTCCTGGGTCGGGGCCTAGGAATCTGCTTTGTAATCTGCACTCCCTGGGCCTCCTTGGACAGTATGATGCGGGGAAGTCGGGAAACAATGAATTAGTCAAATTTCTATCATTCAGAAGTGTTTTCTCCACCGCCCCCCCCCCCCCCTTCTGATTTTAAGAGTAACGCATGGTTATTTTAGAAAATTGGAAAATAATGGGAAGTGGTTTCCCTAAATTCTTTTTTACACCTGCGGATTTCCTCCCAGGTGTTAACAATAATAATGAACTAGCAGTGAGAATTAGAATACACCAAGCATGCTGCTAAAACTTCACACACACCACTTTACAATAATCTAAAAAGCAGATGCTATGATAATTGCTAATTTACAAATGCAGAAATGGAAGCACAGAGTTGGTTGCCCTGATCACATGGCTAGAGGCAGGAAAGGGGGATTGGAACACAGGTTTTGTGAATCCAAATCTTGCAATGTTTAACCTCAGTACTACCACCTCCCGAGAGCTGGGTGGTATCATACACTAGATAAGGCTTTATGGCCTGATTTTTATTTTTGTAGCCACGATTGATACAAAAAAATAAAAATAAAAAATGGCTGCCACCACTATCCTCTCTTCCTTTCAGACTCTTGCTCATTATTACTCCAACTGGGCAAATCAGGAATTACGTCTGCTGTTGTTATTCCTCATCTTCAGTAAGTAGTGGAGGGGTTAAATAATAAATTCTGCAATATCTTTGGCTCCTGGGACGAGGCAGAATAGACAGACCCAGAATGCTCTCCACTCCAACATTTCCTACTCAAGAGAGTTTAAAGGAACCCTCTAAATACTAGGTGAGTTGGTACTCATCCTTCAACATCAGCTCAATGTTCTCAGTGATTACGGTAGAGACAAGTGTTCTCTCCGTCTTCCCCATCCCTGAGACGGCCTAATGAATGTCTATTCCTACTTACCGACCCCACAGATCCCTCACCTTTAGCCCCAGAGGAAGTCATGTTCACTCTCCTTCAAGCCCCCTGAGCACTTTGACCAGCCTCATCCTCCCTCCCCGTTTCCTTGGGGAGAACTTTCCTGACTCCCACACCTGATCGGGTCTGGTCTCACTGATGTAGACACTCAGAGCTCTGTTCTTGTAGCAGTTATTATAACGGAAAGTGAATAATTTATAGGATAATTGGCCACCTGTTTCCCCTGCTAGAGTGAAAGCTCTAGAGCTAGGACACAAATTATCTATCTCTGTGTCCCGTAGCACAATGCCTAGCTCAAAGGGAATGAGTAAGTTCCCACCTGTTACCTAGAGTCATGGGACAGGATCAGAGAAAGAAAGGGGGAGGGAAGGGAAAGGAGAGAGAGGAGAGAGAGAGAGAGAGAGAGAGAGAGAGAGAGAGAGAGAGAGAGAGAGAGAGAGAGAGGGAACATAGGAGGGGGGAGTCACTGAGAGCCACACTCTTCAGAAAAGAAAGAAGTGTTACAACAGGATACGATGGGTGAATCTGCCAGGACCCACTGGGATAGTGATGGTGGAGATAGGCAGCAGCTGGTTCACCCTTTGGCAATCTCCCTGCAGGCCATGGGACTTTGTGTCCCAGTTGCTGGAACAGTGAGCTATGAGAAGGTGCTGTACCCCAGACCTGTGACCTCCCCGCTGGAACCGACAAAAGTCCGGTGGGAGATGAGGCGGAAAGGTGATGAAGACTAACGGGCAGGGCTTATTATTCACCCCAACTTGGAATAGGAAGCCACGGCTGCATCCCACAAGCACTCTTCCCTTGTCATCATTGGGTCATACACAATGATGGTCACCAGGGGGCGCCATTGCTGCACTAGTAATTCAAGACCTTGAGAAATTTCTATGCGGAATGTTGTTCTAACTTCTGCCCAGGTGAAGAAATTTCATTTTCAGGGAAAGAAAAAAAAAAAAAAAAGTCTTGGTTGGTTCTCAGCATTAAATCGGTGACAAGTTGCCTCATCCTGGGGAATCGCACATGTAAAGTTGCCGGCATATTTTATGTCAAAGAGAATGTAAGGGGATGAAACCACCACAGCCCAAACCCCGATCTGGAAGGAGAAAGAGCAGGAGCGGGGGAGGCAGGAGGTCCCTGGTTGCCATGGGAGATGGGAAGCAGCAGCAAGCCCCTGGGTATTCCCGTGGGCGGTGCTGGGTGGAATCCCAGCTCTGTCACTGGGGCAGGGTGACTTGGGGAAAGTTGCATCACCTGGGGCTTCGGTGCCTCAGGACGGTGGGGAGGATTAAGCACCATTTTGGCAATCCATTCATCAGGCCTGGCCCTGAGCAAATGGAAATACACGTTGTGGTCTCAAAGTTACATTTGGCTCGGGAGGTTATTTGATTAACCTCTGCCTCCTTCTCCCCCAGCCCCCTCCTCCGCCTCCCCTATCCACTAACTTCTACATTTATGAGGAAAGAGATGGTAGGTTTTCGTTCCTCCTCCTCATATTCCCAGCACCCAGAACAGTGCCCGGTACATTAGGCTCTCGGTAAATGTATGGTTGATAGATTAAAAAAAAAAAAAAAAAAAAAGAAAGAAAGAAAGAAAGAAGCGGATAGGAAATTTGTTCTAAGTATAAAATAAAGCCGTTTAAAATATTTGAGACTGCCCTCAACCAAATGTGAGACTAGAGGCAATAGTCAGAGGGGTCAGGTAAAATCTGGTGAGTGGCCCATAAGCTATGAGCTACGAGAAGGTGCTGTAGGGGGCGGGGCCAGCGAGTGGGCCGGGAGATGAGAAGTCTGTGGGTGGGTTGCCTTGGCAACCTCCCAACCTCCCACTCCAAGGTCTCCATCCTTACCAGGGCATTGCAGAGCCCTAAGGCTGAGCGCAGGGCCACATCGAGACACCGCCCCACGTGGGGAAGACGGGGTTTGGTCCTTCGTCATGTTCTCGGCGTGGCTCTTTTTCCTCTGGCTTCCGTGGCTTCGTCCAAAGAGCGCGGGCACTTCTTGGTGAACAGCAACCGGAGCTGCTGGGCGGCCCGTGTGGTCCGTGCTGGACGGGCCACTGCCGCACGTGTGATCTCAGCTGGTTCCTTTCGTGTCTTCCTGACGTTCCCCAGCCTCCAGAAGGACGCTGGACCCACACGCCCACAGAGAAAGCGGGCCTTTCAGAGCGGGAGTCCTCAGTACCCATCAGTGCCGTCGCCGCCTCTCCCTGACACCATGAGTCTTAGCTAACATCTCGGGCCACGGTGTCTTTCACACATTGCCATTCTGGGGCGTTGTTACCCGAGGATGTCTAGTGAAAGAGAGGCCACCTGATGTAACTCAGAGGAAAAGATGGTTAGCCTCTGGGTTGGGTTTGGACAAACCCCTGCTTATCGGCGGTGTGACCTAGGGCAGTCCACTAGCTTATCTGAGCCTCTGCTTGCTCATCTGTAAAATGGGGATGCTATCATCACCTCCCTTTTGTTGTCACAAAGATTAGAGGTGATGTATCCAGAAGCTGGTACACAGGAGGCCCGCGTGGGCCAATAGTTAGTAACATGGTCTGGGTACACGATCCTGATATATTCCGGTGTAGTGTGTTATTGGGCAGACATTTTGATGAACGAGTATCCGGACTTAACCATATACTAGTATATGGCTTTGTTCTTATTACTTTGTTAGTTTTAACCTTGTGTTGCCATAGAGAGCTGCTGAGCCACCGATGGGCTTAGGGAAGCCAAGTTCATTGTCAAACTCTGCAGGTTACTACTGCTGAGGTCTGCAATAACCTCACCATTTACCTTTGTCGTCACACTCAGCCATTTAAATGTCCACAGGACGCCCTTCCAGAACTCCCCGTCGGCCACGGTACCCTGCAGTTTAAGGAAGTGGCTAATTGATCATCCTGGGCCCGCTGTTAGGAGACGCAGGACAGAGGCCCCAGCAGGCTCCGCATGGACACAGAGCAAGAGCGAGAAGTACGCCTTGGTTATTTGGAGCCACTGGGATTTTTGGAATTGCTTGTTACTGCAGCATAACCCAGCCCACCCTGACTGATCTAGTCCAGACCACCTCCCACCAGCAAACCCACATCACCTGCAACGTAGAAACCAATGGATGCATGATTGGCTAGATGTATGAATGAGTCAGTTTCCTCCTAGGCACTGTCCCCTTCCATCATGTCTTGGAACGACTACATGTGAACCGAGGCCACCGTGTGTCTCTTTTTAGACCCCTTCAGGCAGTCCTCCCTCAGCTCTGGAGCTCCAGGCGGCGATGCTCAGCTCCCGGCTCCCGTCCCTCCTGGCCGCCTGGTCCCTCCCCGGTGGGTGGGCTGCGTTCCGGACCCTTGGCTGCTGCCACCTGCAGTTTGAGCAGCGGACTGCCTGCTGTGACCACACCCCAACGTGGGGGTTTCCTCCAGCCCCGGGGGTGCCAGTGGCTCCACCATGGGAGGGAAGTCAGGCCTCTGGCCTCCATGCTGGTGCCCTTTGCTTCTGCCCCTCCCCAGAGGCCTCTGGTTGGCAGGCGTTCCCCGCTCTCTGCCTCCTGGCACGGGGCAGGGCCATGTGACTCGTGGCAGCCTCTGGGCCTGGACGTGTCACTCCTGGACTCCAGCCTGGACCTGCTGAGCCGGTCTCTCTCCTCTGCCGTGTGGCGTTGGCCA